ACACCATAGAAACTAAGTGGGGGGAAAAAAAAAAACAAAACACAACAACCCAAAATCCAACACTGCTATTTTCAGGTTTCTTTTCTCCAGAGGAGGCCTGTTTCTTCAGAAGGCTCCAATTCAAAGGGCGAAAAGAGGGCCTCCTCCCTGCCACATGCCTCCTGGGGGGAAAGAGAAAGAGAGGGGGAAGAAGGATGGAGAGACACAGCGAGAAAAATTTGAAAGAAAAGATGAGGAGTGGTTCAAAATTCAACAAAATATCATCCGAAAAGTACAAAAGACCTAGGTAGTTTCTGAGGGCCTTATACCAACCACCGACAAGGAAAAGGAGGTTAAGGGAACGGATCTGTGTGCTCTATGGGAGAACAAAGGCCACTACCCAACAGGCCAAAATGGGTCACTGAGTCGTCACAAAATTCCAAAAAAGTACAAAAAGTTACCCGCTCATCTTATCGTGTCTGAGGTACTATTTTTCCAAAGCTACCCTCTAAGAGGTTGGTTCCTCCCCACAACGCTTTCAAAGTTCCTTCTAAAATAGAGGCTCTTCAGGCGCCCCGTCTAATAATTCACGAGCGGCATGATCATACATGTAATCACACGTGTGGGTGGCAAGTGTTAACATCCCTGCTTTCCAGAAGGAACCGAGGCAACTCAGTCTTGCCTCAGTTTACTCAGAAAGTGAGGTGGCCTGCTGGTCGAGCCACGGCTAAGGATAATGTGGCAATGGTGTATACACACGGATGTGTTAACACACAGCGTCGTTCACTTCCAAACGCCTGTTAGAGACGAGCCAACGACACGCGTGAGCAGCCTTTAGATTTGCCACGGGAGCACACACGTGGGCATCGCCACAGCAGATGAACGGCATCTTACTTGACATCTGCAGGCCCCCCCCAACCCCCCCCACTGAATCCCAGGATCCCCTGGCTTGAGGCTAATCAAGCTTTTCGTCTCTGAAAGTATCTAAAGAGAAGGGCTCTGTGCAAAGAGGCTCTGAACTTCTGACAAAGGACCTGCTTGAGGGGCGGGGAGAAGGGGACCGCGGAAATGGAGTGTGGGCGTGGACATGAGACCTGGGACCGGGGCCCTTGGCTCATACTCACATCCACTGCACGTTGTTTTTCGACTTCTTCTTAATGAGGTGGATGCCTTCCAGCACGTTGGTGATGTCATAGATCCTTCTCTTTTGCACTTTCAGTACCTCCGCTGCCTTGTTCAAATCCAAGACCCCGTCAGGGGACTGGCTCAGTAGCTGAATGAACTTCTTGGTGAGCAGACCAAGGGATGTGTCATACCGTGTTTTTTCTGAGGGAGATTTTGGAGCTTAAAGAAAAACAAAAGCCGAGCGGGTGGGGGTGGGGGGACAGGGAAGGGGGAGAGGTAAAGAAATGAAGGGTTTCTTTGCAGGTAGGCAAGCCCTCTTTCCCGCTGCAGCCCAAGTATTAGTGTTGAAGCAAAGCTGTTGCTGTCGTGTTTTGGTAAGTTACAGAAAGCTATGAAATTGCTTTATTAGAAAAGGAAGGGGGTGCCCGGGTGGCTCAGTCGGTTGAGCATCCGACTTGGGCTCAGGTCATGATCTCGTGGTTCACAAG